CTCTCTCTCTCTCTCTCTCTCTCTCTCTCTCTCTCTCTGTCTCTGTCTTCTAGGATTTATTCAAATGCAAGAACCGCGGAGAAACGCGGTCAAACAACTGTTAGCATACGAGTCAGAAGGCAAGAGAAGACGAGTGTTGCCTGTCAGAAACAGTTACGAGCGCATTTAAGGAAGTTAAATCGGAGTGCTTGTTCCCCACTCAGCATCCGGTGGTTCTTGTAAATCCGGGAATTCGCAACATCAGTCCAAGTTTTGCGGAGCAATGTAAGAGCATGTATATGCACAATGCAATCAACGGGGAATGTTCTCGGGTGGAATCACTGTTAATTTTAATTTACCGAGTTTATCAAATCGCCTATCAATTCGTCAAATTTGCCGTTGCGACGATTATGAATGTACTGCCCGTTGATTATGAATATATCGTCAGTATAGTTTTTATGAAGAGTAACTGAAGATTAGAAACATTGATATGCTAACATTTTTATGTTTTGTATAAAAACATGTAATATAGTGCAATATACACGACACAGTTGACTGATAACATATTTTTACTTTAACTTCACATTTTTATAATCTATTTATTTTGTTTTAAATTATTTTTTATTCTTAAACTTTCTGAATCTTTGAACTACAGTAATACTTTGCATACATTATTTTGAATAAAGTACTTAAAATACACATGTAGGAAAATTGAGATTCTTGTCATTATTTTCTAATTATCTTTTCCTTTACTACATACAGTAACATCATGGCTACGTTCGCTTTGGACGATTTTGTGCTGATAGCGTCGTTCTATCTTTATTGCTCACTAGCTAAAACTACCCAACGCTGTCCGAGTTATCACAAAGTGTCAAGGAAATGAAATCAGGGGGAGGGAGTGGGATGTCCGGGTTTCATGGTAGCCTATATTTTCCGCAGAGTCCTAGAGAGAGAACTATGCAAAATTTGGTCCAGATCGGTCAAAGGGTTTGGAAGTGTATAGGTAACATACAAACAGACACATAGGTAGACATTTTATTATGTATATACATACACAGGGTGATCCACTTAAATCGAGTATCTTAAATTTCTCATTTATTTTTGATGATACGAAAAAATGTTTAAAGAGAAAGTTGCCTGTTCGAGCGATTGTGATGACAAAAAAATTTTTTTAAGGCATTTTTCAAAGATTTGAAAGTTAAGGTAACTTTTTAACAAAAATTCATATAATAAAAATTTATTATTTTTTATTAGACGCAATACAGATTAGTCTGTAATATTTTTAGGATTGATTCGCTATTTTTGAGATACATCCTTCAAATAAATCGGATGTAATTTGTAATATTCGATTTTTCGTTCTACATTGAGCGGACAAACTTCTGACAGTGTCAGCTTACGAGTTCGCTGCGAACTCGCTGAATGCGCGATTAGAAAACATCGGATGATTTTCGAGGGGGACGCGAGAGACACGGAAGAACAATGATGTGGACGTTGGCGTTGGACGCGCGTGAACAACCCACGTAAATAACGAGATAATTTACGTTCGTTACACAATGATCGTCATAAATCGCATTTCTGTTGGTCGACAAAACGTGCGTTATGCGAGGAACTCCGGTCCCTCCGCCGTCAGACCCTCAACCCCTTCCTGCGTCCCTTCGCGCTGTCGATATTTTACCGCGAGAACGCGGATACACGGCCGGCATAATTTATCTGTTTTCAAATATGCCCGCGTGCGCGCCGATAAATTTACATATTTTAATATAAATTCCTAAATGCCGGCCGGCGTCCGTACAGACGGCCCTACGAAGCTCCGAGTACGTCTTTATCGATCATTGCCTCGCCGTCGCCCTTCCAAGCTTTATGTCTTGATTCTAACCTCCCCCAGCGCTCCCGTTCCCTTCCCTTTCGTCCTTCCTTAATGTAACAGCTAGAGAACGCTCAAGAATATGACGGATTCTTCGCGTGGTTTCGCATTATTCGTGCGCTGCAATAAGTAAAATAAAAGTATCGCTCATAATTTCAATATTCCGCAACTACATTTCCTAATGTAAGTTTAGGAGCCATACAATCAATCAATAAATGGCGAAATGACAACTTTTCTTCGATCCAATCTTGTCTAATAAAATATCGAGGTAAAACTTGTACATAAGATATGTAACTGTATGAAAAAACTTAAATTTTGGAATTCTTTCGAAGAAAAATATTTTTCAAAACGCGTTCTGGTTCAAGGATAAGAAATTTCTGATTCTTATAATTCAAATTTGATTCTAAAAATCAGAAATTCTGTCAATTAAATCCTTTAATGAAAACGCGTTAGTTCGTTCATTATAAACAAACTTCGTATTAATACGACCAAACTTTATTCTTCATATTCACCAAACCTCATAATTGCAGTTTCATTCTCTAGCATAGTGATATTTGAAATTTTCAAGATTAAGCATATCATAATATAACATATATATACATCATGACTGTTGATTATTCAAGAAATAGACAATTTCTAGAATAATCCATAGTTATGACGTGTACGAGTATTTTATCTTCCTTAGTCCTGATGTAGTTCAATTGGCTAGATGTAACCTGACTTTTCTTATTACTCTAATTGAAATAATTAACTTAAAATATAGCAAAATGTAGCTAATTTATTATAGAATTTATATACATGCACTAAATAATAATAAATAATATACTTATTGTGAGTACATACATAAAAATATTATTTCAGCTAATTTTCTGGTTGGGAAAGTTTCTTGCTGGACGCTATTTTATATTTTGCAACCAATTGTCAGAGTTAAAAGATACTAAAGTAAAATTTCCCACGTATTAACTAATAGCCCAGCTTGCTGAATATATGATTTTATACACTTCAAGTATAAAGAGAGTTAAGTATAAAGAGAGTCATAAACTTGGAAAAAATGCCCATCTGACTGGACATCAAAACTGAAAAGATTATGTACACGGAACAATAGAGATTTAATTGTAGGTTTGGCCACAACAGACATTCGGGTTAAAGAATAATACTTATTATATACGCCGCAAATATATTATTTATTGGAATTCGGTCCATTGCGATTTTTGATCACGGAGTGTTTAGCGTATCTTTTTCTATTTAATAAAGTTATATTACTTTTTTGTAATTACTAATTGATCTTTCCACGAATCTATCGGTCACATCCGTTCAAATGTTTAGTGTGCGTAAAAAGTCAGATATATTATTGTTGATGCAACGCTCAGTATTGCGAGAGACTGAATTTTATTCAACCTTTGGGACGCGTAACGAAACCGATATGGTATCGCGGCGTATCGTCGTTGCGAGAGGTGAGAGATCTAATCGCAGAGCGGGAATTTGAAGCATGCACTTAGATTTTGACAGGGACACCCGACGCATGCCGGAAAAATCGATTTTCCTCGCGCGACTGATAACGCGACGCTTCTCTCGAACTGCTTCGGAGAGCACGACGGAACTTGTTTGACACCTTAACTATCGCGCGCACTCGAATGCCACCCCGTCCCCATCCTCCTCCAGCCCCCGCCCCGGGTTGACAGTCGAGCTTCGTATAATACGAGTCGCTATCGTCGTCGGAAGTTCGTGTTTAGAAGCACACGCACACGCACGCATGCACGCACGCACGCACTCACACGACGAGACGGGACGGGACGCGCGACAATATGTAGGAAATACGCGCGCGTATTTCGATCGTTGCCGCGTAAATGCCAAATGACACCGTCTGTGTATTTGTCATGCGCCAAGCAGGATGTAACTGCCGTGTGTAGCAAGCACTCCGTCGAAATTTGAATGGAGCGATTACACGTGAACGTATTGCCGATAGCGTAGCGACGCGATAAGCGGAATTTGTCACCTGATGAATTTAGGTTGTATCTTTTTAAAGCGATACGCAGTGTAATATCAAGTATAGGAGGAGGAGAGAGAAGCATCGCGCGAGATAAACGCAACGATATTCCGACAGCGAGACATTTGTCTTCCGACAACGACGTATTGGCCATAAATCCCGCGTATACACCGCGCTCTTACGCATGAAAAATGTCCTTGCGACGGTGTCTTGTGTATATTTCTATGCAGGCTAAAAGCTACGTGAACTTTCATCTCTGATTTGGAAGGGCCGCTTGTCTTTATCGCGAACTGCTCAGCTACAACATAGAGTGTGTATAGGAATAGATCGATATTTTGCAGTAATTCACTCTGTCTTTTCATTTCACATGTACTATTTGTATCTTAGAAACTAAAATGTGCTATTAAAACACTTGGTATCCCCGACAACATAATGTCTAAAATCGGGACATAAGACGTCTTAAAGATAATCTTTAAGACGCTTTAAAGACGTTTATACGTAAATCGTCTGAAAGACGTCTTAAAGATGATCTTTAAGACGTCTTATGTCCCGATTTTAGATATTATGTCTGAAATGTTTCCAGCGAAATTTGCTTTGTTCCTTAATAAGATCTTGCTAAACTATTAAAAATATAGCAAAATGTGAAAGAATGAAAAAATATGTGTACTTAAATATGTATTATTGAAATTGAATGTTAAAAGAAACGATTATACTGTGCACTGAGTGAACAAATTTTGCTAATTTAACAAATGACTAGTATCAAAGAGGTTGTTATTATGAGACAATAAATGACTTCGTAGTGAGAACAAACGATTTATTACTTTCAATTGCTCTAAGCGACATTTTTGCGATGGAGATAATCTAAATAGACGAGAATAAGAGAACGACATCTGAGAAATATTGAGCGACTTTGTTTTAGTGCGACACAAAGTGATAAAGTGATACGCGCCATATTTTTCTTCAAATATAACTATCTACAATTGCGAAGAATGATACAAAGCTTTCTTTCCATAAAGTGTCGTAGTTTTCTTTTAATTAATAAAATGTTTAATGAATTTTCCACTTTGTTTCGCACACTCACAGAGTCAAGAAAATTGGAGCGAGGAGCCAATTGGGGGAAAGAATTTTATATTTATACAATGCAAAAACATGATGACAGCTTAGCTTACGACGCGGAGTTTCTTACTTTATTATTAGCGTGAGTTTCTTGTAAAGTTGTTGATGCGCCAAGATATGGGGGCATTTTGCTGAAAACATTCTTCATACTTTAAAACTCCCCCGTACGCTGGATGGTGAGCTCCGTGATCTGAAATTAAGCGACGCGTAAAATGATTTTCCCATACCTACGCCGAATACAAGACGTGCATTAGCAATAATTTCAACCTGGACTTCCGGTCGCGTTGCGAGAGCATAAATAAGCGCGTCCGCTACGTCACTCGGCATAAGAGCTGGTATCTCGTCGAAAATGTCTCGTAACTCGACGTTGTGTTTAGCTATCTCCGTTCTTACGAGACCAGGGCTAATACTCTGCAAAGAGCAGACGGAGTAAGAGTCGACTCGGCAATTACCTTACGGCACATCGGTGGAAAGGGGAATGCGCGCATCCGATCAACTTTTATTTACACAAAAATAAAGCCGCGTCGCGCAAACGTTCACGAGCGGCACGCGAGGAGACGCGTGTAAATTTAACGGCTCACACACACATACACACCAGTAAGTAAGCACCGTGCGTGTCTGTTGTGTCTACGGGCTACAAACACCGTTTACCTTCGACATGTCTACAGACATCAACGACTGTTTACCCCCGACTCCGTGTGTACTACCGTCGTAAAATATTTATGATTCGAGCCACCACGCAATCATTGTACGATTAATTTGCCGTGACAACGTAACACCACCATGATTTACCGTAAATTTACACTTTCAACAAGAATCACTTCTCCATTAATATCTTGATATTATACGATATTGACGTATTCTGCCTTTTAGATACTATGCGTATGAGAATTTCAAAATTTCATTAAATGAGATGTATTTGCACGACGAGGGCAACGAGAAAGCCAGGGACTGAAAGTATGATTTCAATCGGTCGCAACTTACCGTGATGCGAATAGGTAATTTCATCACCGCTAATTCCCGCCGCACAGTGTGAGTTAGAGCGACAGTTGCGTGTTTAGTCGCGGGATACAAGTTAAAACCATTAGAGCCAGTGATTTCTGAGAGAGGTTTCGTCGGGATCTCGTGGCCCAAAATGCTACACACATCAAAGCTATTGATACAAAGCTATTGATATTGCAGTGAACGAAAATCACAGTGCATGTCATTTAAAGCAACCTCCCACATCTTTTCTCATTTCCTCCTTGCTCCCTCTGTTCCATCGCGGACGAGCGCGCTTTCCCGGCGCAAACGCGCTTCGAAAACAACTAATTTATTCAGAAAGTTCGCGAGACTTATCCAGTGTTCCCAGACGTCGCGGTTAACGAACGAATCATAAGTAACAATACCTGTTGACATTGAAAACATGCCCTTCGACGTTTCGGCCGCGCATCGAGCGCACCGCCTTGTTGACGCACGTAGCGACTGCGAGGACATTAATATTTAACAGCCTTTCAAATGTCTTCCTGTCGCTCTCTGCAAGTGTAATTTATGGAATTTTTAAAATGCGCCAACGACGAGGGAGACCGAAGCCTTCCACTGTAATATTGTCAGTGAAAGCCCACCCCTTTCCCTCTCCCCGATCGCGAGTTGTATGCGGCATATAGAAGTAAGAGTCTCCCTTTTTTTCCAGCGATGACATTCCCCACGTAAGAAACTACTGCATTTTTTAGCAATCTTAATGATAGGATCAAAACCAAAATTTGAACATCCAAAAAAATATAATCTTGTCTTAATAAAAAAAATTCTTTTAGAAAAGGAAAAATAACATAATATTCTTAAAGTGTAAGGGATTTCAATTTATCATAACATTTCAAAGAACCAACTTTTGCTTCAAGTAAAAATATTCCTCTTGAATAAGAAAGAAAAAAAATGCTACACTGAGAAAAGAAAATACTTGAAAATTTGTTCGTGGAATATAAAGTTTATTTCTGTGAAAAATTATATAAATAAATATAAATTTCCCTGCAAATAAATTTTCATGTATTTTCTTCTCTGAATGTAAGATAATACACTGAAAAGAAATACCTGAAAATTTATTTATGGATTTAAAGATGTTATTTCGCAAAAATAAACTTTATCTACTTCACAAGAATAATCTTTATATCCTACAAATAAGTTTTCAGATATTTTTTTTTATATATCTAGCAGATTTCAGATTAATAATTTACTTTATTAGAAGAGGAATATACATACTTTCAGTTTTTAGTTAGAATACTTTCCTTTTGGTTTTAGAAGAATCTTTTTATATGTTATATACCTTTTATATGTTATATGTTAAAAATCTAGAACAGGACAACGTATAAGAGGATTCTACCAAGGTGAGAAAATACTTTTTAGGTGAAATAAGACTTTCAGAGACTCTCGTCAAAGCTTTGAGATACACTGTACATCGCGTATTGTATTCACGTGGACGAAGTTCACAAAGTCACAAAGTAAAAGCTCCTTTTCTTAAGAAAACAAATGCAAACATACCGACCATGCGGGTGTAATCGATGACACCAGCGTTGTTGATCATAATGTCCACACCGCCGTACGCGTTCTCGATATGCGCGAACACTTTGTCAATGTCCTCCTCCTTGCTCATATCGCAACACATGGTGTATAGCCTGCCGAAACCTTCCCGATTGGTAACATCGGCAAGCAGTCTCGCCAATTTTTCCTTCTGGATATCCGCAGCAGCTACGTTCACTCCGTTTCGCAGAAGAGCCCGTGTAATTGCTTCGCCGATGCCGGTTGCAGCGCCGGTAACGAGTGCGGTTTTACCGAGCCAGCGATCCATAATTGCCTGTCTGCAAGTACGACGTAGCCCGCGCGGTTGACATGCCACTAATAACTAGCGAGCCGAAAATAATTTCAAGCACGTAAAAAGCGTAATCATGAACGTCTACAATCGCGGTGACGTTAAATTCTCCGTGAAATTTGTGGAAATGGCATTTCGATTAACAGCACCAGCGCTATAGCGAACGTACTTATCTGTGTCTTCCGTCTCGTCGAAAAAAAATCGTCTCAACCTCGATGATATCTTGATTCACCGACACGGTGATAAGTGTACGGCGCGCAGTGAACCACTAAGCTGCATCAGTCAATAGTACGACGCAAATATATATAATGGGACGTAATCACTTGATAGTATCAGTTGACTCACTTTAGGTTGGAGTGGGATTAGCGATCTCGTGAACACGTGATACATATACACATATGTATACATACATATGTGTATTCGTGCTTATTATTATAACCGCTCAGAACGAAAGTAAAACTTATAACGCGCTTCCTTATAACGAAAGACGTGTGATATACTCGCTACATGTTTTGCAACATCCAAAATAATCTAATCTTATCTTTAGAGGAATCCTCTGAATCATAGAGGTTTTACACAGAATGTCTGACGATAGGTGGGAAAACGCTCGTGGCACATAGACGGTTGCAAATCAGCTGGCGCATGTTTATTAATGCGAAATTTCTAGCATATGTAATGGTTTCACTGGAAACTTCGCGTTAATAAACATGACCGATTTTGCAAATCGCGTATCGCTTCTATTATATTTTAGGCATCATGCTATCTATATGCACTTCTCATAAATAAACTTTTATTTTTAGACAGTGTAGATATAATAAAAATGTGATCGGGATATACAGGGTGTTAAAAAGAAAGTATTCCAAACTTACGCGCTAAAGAGTACTCATTATACGGAATAAACATGGGTCGAAAAATCAACCCATTCAGAATTATAAACATTTGTCGATTTTGATAACGCAAATTATTGCTTTCATTAATCACACGCAATCAATAAACGAACGAGTATCTTATTATATTATTACTGTTGTTTACAAGAATTCCTCGTGTCTTCCTTCCGAAAGATGGATTGGACGGACCAGTTGCATAACTTCCTCGATCTCCTGACTTAAGTCCATTGAATTTCTTTTTATAGGGATACATAAAAAGTTTAGTTTATTCTTCACCCATAAATAATATTACAAGAATTAAATGAACGAATTTGAGATGCAGCTGATAAGATTCAAAGAAAATTTTTTTAAAGAGTTTGAAATTCTATAATTCGAAGATGTATATAAATGGAAGTAGAACACTTATTGTGTGTGTGTGGGTGTGTAAACAATATAAAAATAAAATAATATGGTAAAATATTCGTTCGTTTATTGATCAACGGAAACACACAAATAATTTATGTTACCAAAATCGAAAAATGTTTATAACTCTGAAAGAGTTGACTTTTCGACCGTTTAGCAGACGTTTTTTACTCATTGTCAGTATAATGAATACTATCTATTCTGTAAGGGATATTTTTTTTTTAACATTATGTATAAATCTACTTTGATTAAAATATTTTATATGATTACGGCTGCGTTCGCTTTGAGCGCTGTAAACATCATGCCATCTTTATCGCTCATTACATACGGGAAGAAGATAGAATGACGCTTACAGCACATACGCGCCCAAAGCGAACGCCTACCAATATCCTGCTTATTAATACGTCATTATCTCTTATTATGGAAAAATTCGAAGAGGGAGTGTATGTATTGATTGGGTAGGCAACTACGGATAGCGTAATAGATATATGGAGATATTTTTTTATTTATTTCTCGATAAGTCTACATGTCGAACAATGGTATTATTATATATAGACTCGGCATAAAGCACCTTTTTATTTGCTAGGGATAAAATTATTAGATTATAAAAAATGGTTGGGGTATATCTAAAATTGTAACTTTTTTTTTTATTAAAAACTTCCTTGTAAAGTAGTCTCTAAATCATTTAATTTTCACTCAGAAAGTTTTTTTCTATCTTTCATACTTTAGAGCATACATGCTCCGAAAGAACTGATTTTTTTCAAAAAGGTGTACAAAAAATACCGCCTTTATTTTGGTCTAGATTACAATATATCTCAAGCTCATCAAAATCGGAATGGAACACTTCCTTATTAAAAATAGCCCACAAGTTGCGACCTGAAAGTATATGTATTAGTTTGGAACATTTTTTACTTCTTTAATATTTCCTCGGCGATGTCGTAAATTTTATACGTTTAGGTTAACACGTTGACTGCCACGGCAATTTTCAGGATTCCGATCTCAGAAGCCAATTTGATTTAATTATATTATATTATTCAAAATTCTAATTATAGTACATAGTAATCACCAAAAAGCATACAAAATGTTTACTTGTTGATTTTCACTTTGAATAAATTTTTTATGATTATATTTTCTGTTCATGTATGAATAAATTTTCTATTCATGTAAGCCAGCTTTGATTTTTGGTTCTCTTCTCAGAAACCATCTATTCTTAGTTACACTTATATACTACAAATTTAATCGTAGCTGTACGAAAATAGTAAGTCAAAAAACTACGAAATAAATCGTAATCGGCGCCAAGAAGGCCAACTACGATTTATCTTGTAGTTGACAATCAGCGTAATATGTCAAAATATGTCTTTCAAAACTGTTGGTTTTTTACTGACATATATATATTTTTTTGCTTGAACATGTATGTATTCTAATCGCACGCGATACAGAGTTGAAAAATTATATTATTAGTATGCTACATTATTGAAAAAAATATTTCTGTATTTATAACTATAATTTGCATAGTAAAAGTTATTATCGAAAGACATACATTTTTTTTGTAATAAGTATTATCGTGTTAGTATTAGTGCAATGATAAACTTACATGTATATTTGCTATTGCTACGCCGAAAGAAATTATCAGATAAAAAATTAACAACCGGATATTTCTGGTCAAAATATCGGTGAATTTTTGTATTCGATCAGGAATCATCCGATCGGTCGGTTGATGAAATGTCGGTTCATAATGTTTTCATCGGTTTATCTAGTTTTTGAGTCCCGTTCTTTATCTCTTATACATATGTGATATCTCGGCACAATCGCTACATTTGCAGATGACACTGTTATATTGACTGTTGGAAACACTTGTAAGAAGCCTCAGATAAACTCCAAACATTTGTTAATCAAATTCACCAACGGACAAAGAGATGGAATATAAAACTGAATGAAGCTAAATCCACACATGTCAACTTTACTTATAAGAAAAACCAATATATTCCGATAGTAATAAACAATAATTTTATTCCGTTCGCTAACATGGTTAAATACTTAGGTAGACTCAGAACTCCGCTGGAAAGCCCATGTTAAGAAAAAAAGAGAAGAACTCGACATAAAGTATAAAAAAATGTACTGGCTAATCGGGAGAAACTCCAGTCTATCTATTCATAATAAAATACTGTTATATAAGCAAGTTCTTAGACCTATCTGTCTTACGATATCCAGCTGTGGGGCTGTACCAAACAAAGCAACAGAGAAATAATTCAACGCTTTCAAAACAAGGTACTTAGGAACATTGTGGATGCTCCCTGCGTAAAAAATAGTAATCTTCACCGGGACCTGGAAATAGAAACTGTTGATGAGATTATCAAAAAGCCACAAAAGTCCCGAAGTCACGAGAATAGACTCCGTAATCATGTGAACATCGGGGTGACACAACTCCTAATATCACAGGGTTAAAAAGAAGACTCAAAAGGACCAAGCCCTTCGAGTTGACATAGATATAGAATTCAAATAAGGAGTGCATACGAGTACTCCTCAGTATTCTATTGCTCCCTAATAAATTAAGTCCGAAACAAATTACTCATTGGTCTAATTTGACCAGATTGTAATGGGATAAGTATCGGCAGGATACTTATTTATAAAAAAAAAATTTGTTTATCTGATGGAATGCCATTATAATCGGAAGCATTAAATTTAATCGGATATCCTGATCGAATGTAAAAATTGATCGGAAATATCCGTTTGTTAATTTTTAATCGAATAATTTCTCTCAGTATATATTTTTTATTTAGGTATTATCGTCATCGCCAAATGAAATGTGAGCTAAAATGAAATATATTGACACGTCTTCGCTGTTAGCCACAAAATAAAAGGGAGTTCGTGTTAAGACGAGTAACGGGGACGCGCGAACAGTCCATTAATTTTCTGACGATCCGCGACGGACGAAGCGCGTGCTATATTAAAACTTCTCGTACACGCGTCGTAACTCTATTTCGGTGCAATACGGCGACCATTTTTCGTCTCAGGCGTGTCCCAAGCGTTGGGCACGTATAGGCCAGACGCATCATGGACGAGGACAGAGATCCTTCGGCTTAGGTTCATCCGTTTACCTGTTCTGGTCCCGTCCGCCCGGTTTTGCCGCGGCCTTTACTTGTTTTAAGTGAAGCGCGACGTGACCTACCGCAATCTCCTCTGTATCCACGTACAATCACATCGGCTTCTGCGTACCGTCTCTCCGAACCAATTTCTTTTGCGGAGACATCGGACGGAATATCAGGATATTTCGAAATCCAGGAGATTCCGGTGGACGACTCTCAGAGATCTATCCTATACCGCGCGCAAGAGGAAGATCTTACTGTCAAAAATATAACACGAATATCGCAACTTGCGGAACACTCCGGCAGCTTGTCCACTTCAAGACGACGGCCACATCTTTAGAGCGATAATTATTTGAGGGACATTTAGAACCGATTTTTCGATAGTAGTTCAAAGTTACACTGAAAGAAGAATCTCGTAACAAGTACCAAAATTTAGTAATTGTTACTAAATTATTCAGTCAAATAATGCGGGTATAAAGTGATAATTAGGAAATAACTTAATTATTTCTGAAATATTTATTCAAGTGAAGATATTCTTCTGAAGAAAGGATATCTATATTTTTATTAAAATGATAAAAGAAATGTATAAAAAAGAAATAAAGTATTTATCATTTACTCAAATTTTTTTTTCATTACCAACTTTTGATTGTTCAGAAGTATTTGACACTTCTATGCATTCTATTTTTAATTTAAATGAAGCGAACTTCTGGGATGTCTGTAGCCAATTATTTGTTATACGTTGTTTATAGTGCAAGATGAAAGTTTGTTTTGTTGATTTTTAACTCTGACGATGACCACTTCGCTACATTCTATTCATACCTCCAATAAAGATGTTCAAATAAACATGGTGTGCTTTTTATAGTATACACATCCAGTTCTAAAAGCTAACTTTGCATAATTATTCCTTGCACAGAGTGCCCCATTAGCAGCTCGTCTCTTGCATTAGACATCCTCATTAGTGCAAGTTTCCGATGTTACATAACGTTCTCCGCGAACGCGACTTCGATGTTCAAGGGTACTTTCCTTGTCATACCTTTTAATACAAGCTCGTGCACAGAAGATCGCACTATTTAAGGGATGGGGAGAC